TTTGCTAAAATCTCTTTACTAGGTCAATGGTATTCCCCTGTTTTTACCAGTCTATTAAAAATGTCAAAAAAAAAAAAAACCAACTCACCTCAGCTCAGTTGGGTAAGACCACTTCTGAGCCATTCCTGAACTCCAGCCATCAGACTCAACCTCTTCTTTCCCACCAGAACCTTAGACTCTGACCCTGAGACCACCCTGGGACCTGGCTCTTTGGTGGGTGAACTTTCACTTTCTCTTGCCCAGACCCAGGTTTTCACATCATTTTTAGCCATTTCCAAACTATGCCACCACCTTCCCTCTCCCCTTTCAGTCCTTGATTGATATATTGCCTTCTCCTTCTAGAATGTAAGCATCTTGAGGGCAGAGGCTGTCTTGTTTTCTTTTGTTCGTATCCCTAGTGCTAGGCATAGCTTGTGGCACCTAGTGAGCACTTAATAAATACCTTATCAATCAATTAATCAACATTTATTAAGCACTATTGTGTGCCAGGCACTGTGCTAAGGGCTAAGTTATCATTCATTCATTCACCTATTCTTAAGATAATGGTTCTTTGTGAGTCTCTTTCCAGGTAAACTCCAATCTTTGCCAGGAAGCAAACTCAATTGCACCAAAGGATTTGAAATTTACCCTTTTCCCTTTTTTTGAAAATCAAGACATTTGCCTGTCTTGGTTCCTGCAGCCCATCTCACAGTTTTCTTTCTTTTTTAATGTTCTGTTGCCAGCGTTTGCTTTTTACACTACAATCATGGTGGCAACCCTGAGAGTAGGTCTCAGACTCAGGACAGCTTGGGTTTAATTCATGCCTCTGGCACATACTGGCTCATCCCCACTGCAAGCCAGATCCCCTCACAGTGCCCCCAGGCAACTCTAAGTCAAGAGAACATTGGCTGATGTGCATTGATGGAAGGAGCTTCTTCACACTGAGATCAAAGAAATCATCGATGAAATCATTTCCCAATACACAGGCTGTCCCCCTTGCCTACAATGTTCTCCCTCCTCGCCTCTACGTCTTAAAATCCCTAGTTGTCTTCAAGGCTTAGCTCCAGTCCCCTCTTCTACTTGAGTCCTTTCCTGATTCCCCACCCCTGCCTCCCAATTGTTTGTGGTCTCCTACTCACCTGAACTAACTTTTTATTGGAGTTGTATTATTTTGTATTCGCAGTACTTATCTATATAAGTGTACCACCCCCCCCCACACACACACCACATATGCACACACCAGTCAAATGTAAGCTCCTGGAGGGCAGAAGCCATTTTGTTTTTGTATCCCCAGTGCCTAGCATTTAAATGCTTGCTGAACTGAAATGAAATGAATTCGATTGGATATATACTAAACTCTTTGGAGCAACACTTTTTGGAGTAACAAAAAACTGGAACCAAAGTAGGTGGCCCTTTATTAGGGAATGGCCGAAAAAAAAGTGGCATATAAATGTAATGGAATATTGCTGTGCCATTAGAAATAGTGGCTATGAATCCACAGAAACAGGTATTTGGAGCTGAGTGAAGTCAGCAGAGCCAAGAGAACAAAAGATACAGTAGCAACGATAATCATACAAACAAAAGAAAGCCGCTAAAAAAAAGGTAGACTTTATATTACAGGCAAAGTTTGGTCTTGGTTCCAGAAAATGAATAGTGAACCACAGCTCCTTTCCTGGAGTAGAGGGGGTGGTGGACCACGATTGCAAATGGCTGCACATGCAATCGGCTGAAAGTCAATCACTGCCTGTCTGTCTGTTTCACTTAACGGATTTTCTTCGTTATAAGAAATGATGCTTTTGAGCTGGGGAGGAATACTGGGAAGCCATATTAGTGAAAGGGAAAAAAGCACCCGTAAAACTTTTCTTTTGGAAGAAAAAGAAGGGAATTTGGAGTTAGAGGACTTGTGTGGAATCTCAGTTCTTTTGTGTGTGTTTGGGCAAATCATTTCCCCTCTCTCTGTTTTCTCCCCTTTAAAATGAGGTGTTTGGACTAGGAGACCTCCAAGGCGCCAGGTTCCAGCTCTAACATTCTGTTCTGATCTAAGCTCCCAGTCCCTTCAATCTCTACCCCATTTTGTTGTTGCTGTTGTTTGACGTTCCTCCTGTCTCCTATGGAGAAGGAGAAACAGATGTGTGACAGATGTGTTCATTAGCAGAATCTTCTGCTCTTTTCTAGTGGTAAAGAAGGAAAGCCAGAAAGTAACTAGGGTAGGGGATCCGAAATTAAGGAAGACCGTTGCATTCTCCCCCCTTAAAAACAGTTGTTTAGAGCCTTGGAAAGGAGGACTTTCTAATATCTGCCTCTTGTCCTAGAAAACTTGTAATGCGTTGAGTCAATCTTAGATATAAAGATGGTGGTCCTAGAATTCCAGAGTTAGCAAAGGTTATACCTAGATGAGACTTTAGAAATCAACTAGTCGTCAGGGGCAGAGTATTGAATGTCATGTCAGATATCATCGATGCATTTGTTGATTTCTCTGAAAGGGACTTTTTCTTTCTCATTCTCAGTTATGAGATGGGTAGAAGAGAGAGATATTTAGAAACAAAGATGATATAAAAATAAATTATGTCAATAAAAATAATTATGAAAAAAATCAACTGGTCTAACTACTTCTTCTCCATTTTGTAACTGGGGGAACTAAGGCCAAGAAGGAGTAAAATGCACCAGTTCATCCAGCAAATTAGTGGAAGAGCTGAGATTAAAACTCAGATGTTCTGTCGACAGGATCTGTTCTTTGAGATTTTTCTCCAGTAGTGGGAATGGGCTATAAAGAGCCATCCACATTCTCCTTACTGGAGCTACAGGCTCACCCCTAATCTCTTCCACAGACTGAGCCCCTAGCCCTAGTCGCAGGCTGCTCCCTGACCTTGTCCACCCATTGACCCAACTGCAAACTCAAACAAAAACCATGCCCCTGGTCAGACTGACCCCTAATCCTAATCCTACACTGACCCTTAACTATAGCCCCAGGCTGAACCCTAAAACAGCTATCTCATAACCATATGCCCTTGGTCACAAAGGGAACCAGACAAATCGTCTCAACCCTCCCCCTACCCACCCTGACCAGGTGATGTCCAGAAAGAATAAGATAGATTAGACTGTAAAAAGGCCTTAACCATCTGTGAGGACTAAGATATAGTACAACAAGTGGACTCAGGGGGTTGTGAAATCTTCCTCTAAAATCTTTCAGGGTAGGCTAACACCTCCCCTGGCAGACATTTCTTTGGATTTGATTAGGAACCATTGAGGCTGGAGTCTCTGGATTGAATTTCTCTTTTGAAAGGGCTTTGAGATCCTAGGGTTTGTTTATTTTTAAGCACCATATAAATGGACTATATACTATTAGATCTAAAAATACAAGCATTCCTCTTTTTTATGCATTCCTGAAAGTAGTGTGAGCATGAATCAGAATTTTGTTAATCAAGTTCCTACCTCTTTGCTCATGATTTTTCCATGTTTCTCTTCATTATTGCTCCATCTGCAGCCGACAAGGGCCACCGCCCATTCTTATCAGGTTGTCCTGTAGCTGTAAATAAAAACTTAAATTCATTGAAATAAGCCCTTTCTTGAAGCAGAGAATTCTTTTATAATAAGAATCACTTCTCCTTCAGTTCATCTGTTTTGTGGGGAGGGGAGAATTTTACACAGTGGGCAGAGTGGTGTTCACCTGTGGGTAGCCTGTGAGCCATGCTCACACCTGTGTCAGGGTGGGGATGATGGGGTGCTTGGGTGCCTGTGCTTGGACCCCAATTTCTCCCTAGCCTCAGAAACACTATTCCTGACAGTTTCCCTCCAGCCCAAGGACCCTATCTCTGGCAATAACTCATGAGTGGGCCCAGTGAGGCAAACTATTTCTCCCTGTTACAAGAACAAGCTGACCTCTGTAGAACTTCCCTCGTATGAACAGGACTGTCTTGTACCAGCAGAACTATCAAGTACTGATGCCCACGGTTACTGTATACAATCCAGAGGTCAAGCTATAGATGTCAACTCCCAAAGCTATCTTGTTACAGACATAACAGACCAAAAATATACCCTTCAGGAACCCTCTCTTCACCTCCCCATGGTTTCCAGTAGTGAATGATGTAGTTATCTGTTATCATTTAATTAGCATACTTGGCACATAATTCACTACTTTTCCTATGTAAGCTTTAGCATCATTCTTGTTAGGTTGCAAGTTCCCTAAGGAGCTCTGCCCACCATGGTAGAATTCCTCAAGGAGCTCTACCTGCTGTATAGCGTAACAATAAATCTTTGCTACCTTGACTTAAGGAATGCTTGAGGCTGTGAATTCATTTCAGATGGCCCCAGTCCTATACTCCGCTCCTTGAGGAGTCTAAATCTCTCACACCACAACAGGGAGACGTGATGGCTGCTTTCCTTTCTAGAACTTCAGTCACATAAAGAAAGAATATTCCATTTTAGCATCCCATGATTACTGTCTTCCAAGACCTGAAGATCTGTCAAGGCAGGAGACTTGTTTTGCTTGGCTCCAAAGAACAAAATTAAGGGCAAAGAGTGGAAGCTTATACCTGATGTGAGGAAAAGCTTCCTAGCCGTGCTAGCCAACGGTGGACCGAGCTGCTGGAGGTGGTCAATTCTCCCTCACTGAAGGTCTTCAAGTAAAGGCTGGCTCACCCCATGTAGGGAAAAAGAGGCAGGGAAGAGTAGGTTGGATTTGATGGTCACTGATATCCATTCCAACTCTGAAATTCAGTGGTTCTATGGAGTCAGGAAGCCTACGTTCAAATCCCTGTGCTCACTTTCATAAGCTGTTTGCCCTTGCCCCTTATCCCTCTTGAGCCTCAGTTTCCTCACCTGTAGAGTGGGGATTATCACACATTACCTACATCACCGGGCTGTTGTGAGAAAAAATGATTCTTAACTCTTACAGCACTACAGAAACACACAAGTTATTTTTAAGAAAAATTAAAAAATTCAGAGATCCAAAACCCCAACCCAGAAATGTATATTTCTTTTCTGTTCTATCCTGACTTCCTTCATCTTCCTTTCTTCTCCAGATCTACAAGGACAACAGAAACTTGTTTGAGATCGAGGAGAATGTCCCCCAGAAACTTGTGGAGAAGGTGGCAGGAGATATTGAGAGCCTACTGGCCAAGAAGGTCCGGGCTCTGAAGGTAAGAAGAAAGAAAGCCTGTCATATTTATTTATTTGTTCATCTCTTGGTTTATTTGTTTATTTGGCACTTTTGAGGTTTGTTAAACTCAATATATATTATCTTATTTTATCCTCACAATGACTCTAGGAAGTAAGTGCTATTGTTGTACCCATTTTACAGATGAGTCCCAACAACTGACTAAGCCAGTGCTTTCCTCTCTGCCAATCCCTCCCTTCCATGGAATCTATTTCAAGGTCATGGCTTCCAGGGGTCACTTTGGAGGCCATGAGGAGAAAACTGTTCATTTTATTCCTCAGGGTGGGAATGAGCATGTGCTTAGACACAGTTGTAATTGATGCTGGAAACACATGTTCTTCTCTTGTCATGACATCACTGGGGGCTGTTTTTGAGGGCCTTAGTCTCTGATGACTGAGAAACTGGGCTGTTGTTATTCCAAGGGACCTGGGTAGGAGCCACTGGTCCTGGTTCTAACAACTCAACCATCTCTGTCTTTTTCTGGGTCTCGGTTTTTTCCGTGAAATTTATGCCTGCCTTATTATAGGCTTTACTGTGTTGTATCAATAAGAAAATGTATATAAAGTATAAGATGCAAAAGTATGAACATGCGAAAAAATGCATTAGATCTCTCTGATAAGGGTCTGATATCTATGATATTCAAGACAATAAAAAATAGCATTGCTATAGCACTTTAAGGTTTGCAGAGCAGTTTAGATATATTGTCTCATTTGCACCTCACGACCACCCCAGGAAGGTACATACTGTTATTATTCTCACTCTACAGATGAGGAAACTGAGGCAGACAGCAGTTAAGTAACTTACCCAGGGTCTAGTATATGACCATTTTGGAAACAGCACAAATATATAAAACTAAAAGTCGTTCTCCAGTAGATCAGTAGGCAAAAGATATCAACAAGACTTAAAAAAAATCCTGCAAATTCTCATCATATGAAAGAAGGATCCAAATCACCAATAATAAAAAAATGCAGATCAAAACAACTCTGAGTTTTTATTACTTCACCCCTAGCAAGTTGGCAAAAATAACAAAGGATAAGGATAGTCCCTGTAGGTGGGGATGTGGAAAGGCAGACGTTCTTGTGAACTTTTGATGGAGTTGTGAGTTGGTCTGATCATTTTGGAAAGTGCTTTGGAATTAAGCTAAGAAAGTCATTAGAATGTGTATACCCTTTGACCTAGAGACACCACTGCTAGGTGTATACCCCAAGGCAATCCAATATACACCAGGAAGAAAGGAAAGCTAGGTCTCCCTGACTCTAGGTCCAGGTCTCTATCCACCGAGCCACGTTTCTGCCTCACCAAAATATTCATAGCAGCACTTTTTGTAGTAGCAAAGAACTGAAAAGTATAAACATGTCTGAGAGTTTGTCTTCAGTACCACCCCACCCCCAGCTCCCATTCATGACTTTCTCAGCGTCCCCCATCTTTGCACTACCATCAGGGAGGAACACTTGTTTACATTAGTTACCACGAGGTAGGGGTAGCTAAACCTGTAGCATTGCCCCACCCCCTTCCAGGCGACATATATTTTGAAGAGAAGCCGGCAAAAGTCAGTGCTTACTCTGAGGAATGCTAGTGTATACTATAAAAAGAGCCCCTACTCTAGAATCTATGGATCTGGGTTCAGATCCTACCTCTAATGCTTACTACCTATATGACCTTGGGCAAGTCACTTAACACTTGTGAGCCTCAGTGTCCTCATCTGTAAAATGAGAATGTCAGACTAAATGAATCATGAGATCTCTTCAGGCTCTCAATCTATGATCCATGGATCCCTTCAAGTTCTGTACCTCTAAGTGCTGAAATCCAAGGAGGATTTCAGGGAGTGAAGGTGGGTTTTTTGTTTGTTTTATGCAATGAGAGGAACCCTCTGAGCCCTCCCTTCCCCCCTTTTAGAAACAATAGTAGCCTAAAGATTTTGCTAGGCATATTTGCTCATGCCCGCTCATTTTTCCTCTCTTTCCCAGTCACCATTGAAACCAGACCTCACTGTCCAACTCCCCAGCCCTCCAGGGGTCTCAGCTTGAGGCAAACCCCACATTAGGCATGGTCTCTGCCTGTCATTGGATCTGAGGTCATTTCATTTTCCAAGAATGGAGGTTAAGACATCACAACCAGAGAGAAAGAAAGAAAAAGTCATTGAGTAAATATTTCCCTGTGTGCACATGGCAGCCCTGAGGACTTTGGGCATGATGAGGGGGAGGGGAAAGACAAGAGGCAGTTAAAGGAAGGGGCCAAGGAAAACTTAGAACATAAAGACAGAGGATGCCAGAGCTAGAAGAGCTCTTAGATTCAATCTAGTCCAACTCCTTCATTTTACAAAAGGAACAACTGAGTCAGAGGAATGACCTTGACCAAGATCACGCAGATAGCAGCAGTGATGGGACCCGAGCCCTTTACCCCGTACCCTACTCCCCCCTCTTCCCAGCCAGGGCTCGGACCAGACCTGCTCCCACATCTGCTTTCCCATTTCTAACTAACAGCAGGGATGGTACTGGGGCGAGGGGAGGGGGCTGACGACCATCAGGAGCAGGAATGCAGGTCATGAAGCATGACAGAAACAGCAGGAGAGAAGAGGAAGATGATGAAAAGTGAAATGTCAGGCTTTTCCACAGGCTTCTCAGGCACTCCCACTCTCTCTGTATCTTTCTCAGTTCCTTTACCTCTGTCTCTCTCCCTCCCTATCACTTCACAATCTCTCTCACACTCTCTCTTTCTTCTTGCCTTCCCTATCTCCTGAAACACGCAGTCTCTCCATCTCCCTTTCTGTCCCTCATCCTCTATGTCTGGTCCTGGTCACCATCTTTGTCATTCTTCTATCTTCCCTCTGTAAGTCGTTTTGTCTCTGTCTTTCCTCATCTCTTTCTCTTTTTCAGTGACACCATTTGTCTCTCAGAGTCTCTCCTTTCCTCCCTGTCTGTCTGTCTCTCTCTGTGTCTCTCTCTGTGTCTTTGTCTCTCTCTCTCTCTCTGTGCCTCTCT